TTAGTAATTCCGCATTGGCTTCTTTTCTACCTGCGAGAAAGTCATCGTTTTTAATTCCATAAACTTTTGTTCACCTGTCGTTGAGTCCCGACTGATTATTGTTACTCAGTTTCTGTAGCCACTCAGTTCATGAGTCTATTTTGAATAGTGGGTCCAAGATTAATATAAAAATATATGTGCAGGTCATAAAAGATAGAGCGGGCGAAATTTATATTGATTCAATGCCTCGAAAAGCTTAATCGATTGGGGCCAGCGGATTCCATGGTTTATGGCAATGTAAGTAGTAAGGAACGTTGTTTGTGACAGCAGAATCTACTGGGCTATTTGCCTTTCATTGTGGACCAGCGAGCTTAATATGTTACATCACATTGGAAGTGACGTCTTGCCGCAAGGCTGCTTGTTTGAAAATAATTCGTTATCACTTTGGACTTAAAATACGTTACCTTCCTTTGCCTATGAAAAGGCCGAATTAACGACATTGTAAAATGCTTACCTGCGGTCTTGTACAGAGATGTACAGAAATTTCGACTTTTCTTACTGTATAATTTAACATATTACGTCTTCCTGCAGATCGAATTCTGTTTTAACTGAGCATATGAACTTATTGCTGACAAATTCAGGATTTTAAAAACGTGCGCTGACGTTGAATAGCTTGAAGGTGATTGCGAGGGATCACTGGAATGGCTTACAAAGCTCTGTTCGACGGAGAAGGAGAAAAACTCATGAATATTCTCGAATATTTTATCACCTGAGTACTTTCAGAGACATTGAATTTGGCAGTCAATCATTAGGCAAAGCAGATATTAAAATTTTTTATTGCTCACGCATTTCGATAATGCTCTTTGGACACAAGACTGCGGTTCACTAGCGAACAGGTGTATTTCAGCAGACATATGTAAATACTTCATTGCCAGTAAGTTTAACACACACGTATAGTTCCTTTCATAATGTTCTATCCGTGAAGGATCCAATGAGTTGAGAAATGGATGGTTTCTTCCAGGTCGTGTGCCAGTCGACCAATTAAGCGTTAGATGTCGCTCGCCGTGGGCAAATCAGCTTCGATAATCGACGCTGTTTCTTCCTGGTCGCGTCGTTATCTACATGCATTACTGGATCGCCGACGCTTGAACACCTGACGTACCTCTGCTTGTCATCATCCAAGTCATCGCGGGTCAAACGGTCGTCACGCATTGGCATTAATGGAACCTCCACACATCATCCACTGTTGTATCTTGAGGGCCCAGGTGATAAGGCCTACAGTAAGCCTCCACTCAAACTCGAAAAAAGGAAACAGAACGCGAAACCAAAATAGAATCAATCAACTAATCGTTGGAACAACGCTGTAAAGTATGGGAGAAAGCTGTGATGTCACAAGCATGCGGCTCAGCGATTGAATAATTTTTTTGACATCATCACTGACATCGTAGACGTCTCATATCTTAGTTTCCTACTAATTACATAGTCGATAGACTATCTGTTATTTTCATTCAATGGTCCATACATTTCTTTGATCTTTCAGTGTACTTAACAAGACTCAGCCAGCTCTTTGACGTTTCAAGGGCACAGTCTCTGTTCGCAGCATTATCGATGCTTTGAACGAATCGAGCTTTCAACAGGTCATCGAAATGTTTCCCACAGAGACCAGCAGTTTCTGCGAACCAGCTCTTGGTTCTCATGTAAAATAGTTACTCTAGAATACTGGAAACAGATTTTAAAACCATGAAAAAGTTTAAGTAACAATTAACACCAAAGAATCATCAATATTCCACAGCGGCTTCTTTCTAACACAACTGAGTAACATAGCGCGCTTGCTATGTACCTACATGTATAAATTGAATTTAGTTTAAATTGATGCAATGTCATGCGAATACTAATATAAACTATTACATGATGAAATCGAAGGTAGCCACCTTTTGTAATTTATTTGAATAGTGGTCCTCTTAGAAACACGTCAGTCTGTTAGCTGCCAAATTACTGCTAATCTTCGTTAATGATCTTTCTCTAAACTTCTAAGAAAACCATGGAATCAGAGTGACTTATCTAAACACGATAACACATCTTGATTAGTTTTATATCCTAATATTTAGGGCTGTTGGACAATA